CGTTGTGAACTCTCGCTGGCTGCGCGCATTGGCTGTCGATCCGGACGGCAGCAGGGATCCAGACAGCGGCAGCCGGGAACCACACGTGACGTCACGAAATGGCCTGCTTCCAGAAGCAAAGTTTTTTTTATTGGACCTAATATTTTTCCTTTTTTTACATATTATTCAGTATGAAATAAAGAAACATACATTGACTATCTGTTGCATACACCCCCCAGAAATCAACTGCCAAAAACTGTTTTTAATGTAAGATAAGGACTTTAAAGTTCTCTGAACTAAGTTCTCTTTTTGGTGTGAACACAAAATTCCAGGCACTATCGGAACTAAACGGGAAAAGTACGGGTAAAAGTACTCCGGTGTGAACGCGCCTCATGTGGGAGCAGCAGCGTCCTAATGTTTGAGTCAAAATGTTGCCAAATAAGGTAATTTTTGTCACAATTTTACAGCTATTTAGTTTGAATACTTATGATCCGAATCTTTGGTGCCTTGTCAATGTACAGTTTGAGATTTACCATACTATTAGATTGTCAATTACCACCACATTTCTCCTTATTTTAAACATTACGTTTCTGTTTTGAAATCAAATATATACAAGTAATTTGTTTGTGACATGAACTGAGGGGAAAATAACCAATACAAGTAATCAGCAAACGTAGATTTTCCTATATTGACTAATAGTGAATGAATGGTGGTCTGCAGTTTGTTTAAACGGGCACTTGCAATCTGTTTGTTATGACCATCTGATTTACTAAAGGCTAACTGCAGCTCCTGGATTATGTTAAAAAGTATAATCCAGTACAGAATCCTGCAAGCAAGCACAAACAAATACACAACGTCGAGTGAGAGAAGAGTTGGAGAGCACTATTAATCTTTAAGATGGATTCTTTTCACGTGGTTTCAAAGAGACATGTTGTCAAAGAGAGTCTTTTTCTGTTGATTTCATGGGTAGTTTTGAAATTAATGATGCCATTTCCTTCACCTTGGACACGTGCTAATTAAACCAAAAGTTCCAAGCAGCTTCATAAAAAGCAAGCAATATTATTTTATTAGAAAGTTTCAAAGTAAAAAAATCTCTACACAGGATTCAAAGGCTTTTATCTGCTCCTGGTGATGGTTAGTCATGAACAAAATCTCTCACATCTAAGACCGCCTGTGGCTCCAATATCGTGAGGATGTCAAGCATGCAGACTTAAGGGTCTTTTATCCGTATCCTGGTGGTTAGGATTTGCCTTGCCACAATAAGTCAGTGGAAAAAGGAGAGCAGAAAGCAGAGCTAATGCCAGAGACGTCAAGTACTTCTGAGCAT